GGTTAAATGGGTAAGTATACACACTAAGAAAATCAGCTTTGTATGTCGTAATATCCTCCTCCCAAGCAGGGATCTCCACAAGCACCGCGTCCCCCCAGCGACAATCAGCTCTCACTCTTCCGGCGTCTGTTATCGAGCAAATATACTGAGTCACGGGCTCACGATGCCCCGGCTTCGAAGAAGGCCTCTCGACCTTGTAATCAGAAGCCATCGTGAAAAATCCTGGAATGCATTCCTCAGCACAAGGAGGCATTGCCGCCTCACCTTGGGATAAAAGCGAAGAGGATAAGGCCACATTCTCCTGAGAAATAGAGGTGGAAGTTTTCTCCATTCCTAGAAATTTTCGGAAGAAAAAGGGAAGTTGCGTTCCTAAGAAAGAACAAAAGTAAAGGCAGAAGGAACCTTTTCTGGGGTTTGGAAATGCAGTGAGTTGGAAAGAACGAGAAGGGGAGTATTTATAGAAGCCATGCATGCACGTTGAAGGAGGCCAAGGGACAGCTAACTGTCGCAATCAATGCAAAGGTCTTCAAGGGCTGCGTGTACATCATCTCTTGGCACCTTATGACTATCGTCATTACAAAAGTATTAGAGGGGAAAAAAATTCAAGGTCGTTTCTTATCACTTTCACTCTAAGAAACACAGATACTATCTATGCACGGTAGAATCGGAGGGTCCAATTTCCTCGTCATTATGATGCCCCATGAACATACTTCCCAAGGTTCGAGACTGGGGTCGAGGTTCACCTTCAAGGGCTTCGATGCTCGACCTCAGGGCAGCAGACCAACGACTATATTGGAAAAGAGGGGAGTTCCCAAGGGGTGAAGCTAGAGCCGACAAAGTCTGTCAGGCTAGTTTGAGCCCGCGTCATGACATCAACTTGTTGTCCTATCTCCATATCTTTGTAATAAATAATGCATTTGTACTATGATGGGATTTCCCTTTTCTATATAAAGGTGGTCCTTGCCATATTGTAAGGATTGATTTCTCCATACTAAATGAATAAGAACATTCTCAATGCTCTCTAACATATTCCCTTGATATTATTACTTCCATTTATCATCTTCATTATTGTTCATCATTTATTACTTATAATTGGCCATAAGAGCCTTCATTGATTTCATTATAACTGTTAGTCGCTCTTCAACTGCCTTCGATATCTCCTAGCCGAGCCCCAGAATCGACTTCGAGGCCCCGATTATCAACCTATCGATTTGGTTATCACCTTATTCCTAACTCTTATTTCATTTCTAAGTCTCACATATAGCAGTAACTGCTTAACAACTAGCATAAAAATAGATCACGTATTTTTAGAGTCTTATAATCAAATTTAATTGTTATTACCATTTTCACGGTAAACAGCAATCACTAGCAATCCCTTGTGCTCAGTTGTCAAATTTCTTGAACTCAGGATCAAATCCATATATAGAAGTAGCACATTCATTGCAAGTATCAATGTTTGTTTACATGGCATTAACATCCACATTAGCTTTGTACATATTTCCTGCTTTGACATCTTCCTCAGTACTCTTCATTGCATCCTTTGCATCTTCAAACATAGACTTGCATGTCTCAAGACAATCCTTAGCATAAATGTCAGTGTTTGGTTCAGCCAAACATTTGTCAATGACTTTGGTAATAAATTAGTCGGTCTTGGACATTGTTGCATCCATGATAGCTTTTACAAATATCGAGATATCCCCTGTTGAGACAATGGGGATGTTTTTTGGAATTTCTAAAGTTATTATAGAGGCTACAGAGGCAGTTAGGGACGATAATGAAGAGGCTGAGGCCGAAGCAGAGGCAGAGGATGAGGTCGAGGATGAGGAGGAGGAGGATTGTTGAGGGGAATAGGCATGTTCATGGGATTATGATAGAGTAGGGTAATTTTTGTATGCCTTAGAGGGGAGGGTTGTAAGGAAGAAAGAAATGGCGAAGACAAGAAATATTTGGGTATAAAAGGCCATTGTCTTTCTTTTTTAATTTAGAAGAGAAATTAAGAAGATGAAAAAGACAATGGAGATTAGAAAGTGGTGAAACCTTGAGATTCCTTGGGTTGTTTTTATAAATAAAATCGAGTTTTAGCTTCATTGGCTATGCTAAAATATAGATTTTCAAGTGCATATTAACCAGCATTTGACAACTTCGTTTTAGAGATTCTAGTTCTCAAATTTATTATTGAAGGATATAATTTTTTGACCCCAAGAACTCACCTACCCACACAATGTTGAACGAAATATTTTGTGTATTAGACTACTCTTTTACTATAGATAAATTAAAAAAATTAAACAAACACTTTAATTTTTATGAATGGGGATATATTATATTAATACTAACATTGTTCAAAGTTATTACAAATCATATTAATGCCTCTTCGGGCATTTTTGAACTAATATCTGATTGAAGAAGAAGATGAAAGAAGAAGAAACAGAGAGGAAAATCGATAGAAACTAAGAGAGAAAGAGTTGATTCTTATTATCTGAGTACCTTACATAGTGGGGTATATCTATATATATAGGTAGCTTACTAATTAACTATTAACGACTAAAATAGAAGCTATTAACTAATTAACTAACATTAGGAATGATTGTTAGTAACTAACAAACCTACTAATATAAAATTACTAAACCGCCCTTTCTAGACTATGTTATATCTTTCTCTACACTCTCCCTCAAGCTAGGTACTGAAAATACATTAAGAACACCTAGCTTGGAGGAAAGATATCTGTGTTGCACCTTGTTGAGCCATTTGGTTAAGATATCTGTTGGTTGCTCTTTTGTTGATATGTAGGTTGTTTTGATAAGGCCTTTTATAATTTTTTCCCTGATAAAGTGACAATCAATCTCTATGTGCTTTGTTCTTTCGTGATACAATGGATTTGTTGTAATTTGAATTGCAGCTTTACTATCACTAAATACTTCAACTGGTAACTTGATATCAACTCCCACTTCTTTTAGTAATCCAATTAACCAAATAAGTTCTGTTACAGTTGTTGCAAGACTTCTATACTCAGCTTTTGCTGAGCTTTTGGAAATGGTTGTTTGCTTTTTGGACTTCCACGAAATTAAAGAATCTCTAAATTTAACCAAATAACCTGAAACAGACTTTCTTGAAAAAGGACAGGCAGCCCAGTCTGCATCACAATAAGCTGAAAGAGTGTTGTTGTCTTTGCTGGAGAGTAGAATTCCTTGCCCTGGACTTTTTTTGATATATTTGACAATCCTTAGAGCTGCTTCCATGTGAGACTTCTTTGGTCTTTGTAGGAACTGACTTAGTGTTTGAACACTAAATGAGATATCTGGTCTTGTCATTGTTAGGTATAAGAGTTTGCCTATCAGTCTTTGATAGGAATTTATATCTGCCAATTCTTCATTCATCAAGGCAGTAGACTTAGTTTTTCTGATATGTTCATCATATTCTGTAGTTGTAAGCTTCATGTTTACATCAAAAGGTGTTATTGCTGATTTATCAGCTGCAGTACTTGTCTCATAAATCAATTCTAGTGCATATTTTCTCTGATGCATGAGAATGCCTTGTTTTGATCTAGCAAATTCTATACCTAGGAAATACTTTAATTCCCCTAGGTCTTTCATCTTAAAGGACTTTTTTAAATGTGATTTGGTTTCCTATATTAATTTCAGGGAATCACCAGTTATAAGCATGTCATCTACATATATCAGTACCATTGTGATACCTTCTGCAGTTTTCTTAAAGAACACAACTGATCATATTGACTTTACTGAAATTGAGACTTTAGAAGAGCTTTTGTTAGTTTAGCATTCCATTGCCTAGGAGCTTGTTTCAATCCATATAAGGACTTGACAAGTCTGCATACTTTATTCTTCCCCTGACTTGTGAATCCTTGTGGCAGATCCATATATATCTCATCTAATAAATCTCCTTGTTAGACTGCATTATATACATCCATTTGATGTATATGTCAGTGTTTTGTAGCAGCTATAGCTAATATAATTCTGACAGTTTTCATTTTAATAACTGGAGAGAAGGTTTCTTGATAGTATATCCCTTCCTTTTGACTGAATCCCTTAGCTACTAGCCTAGCCTTAAATCTTTCTATTTCACCAAAAGCTTTATATTTGATTTTGTATATCCACTTACATCCTATAGGAGTCTTACCAGTATGCAGAGTTACTATGTCCCATGTGTGATTATTTTGTAGGGCTTCAATCTCAGCCTTCATAGCATCTATCCACTTAGGATCCTTTATAGCTTTAGAGTATAGAGTTGGTTCAGTAGTATTTGAGGTTTCTGTTAAGTAGACTTGATATGTAGGACTTAAGTGTTCATAGGTTAAGTATTTTCATATTGCATATGGTTCATTCTGTTGTGCAGTTAATGACACAAAATCTTTCATCCATATAGGTGATTTTTCCCCTCTCCCTGACTTCTTATGTTTTATTGATTAGTAATTGATTGTGGAATTTGATCTGTTTGTTGTAGGGTTGAAGTTTGTTGATTGTTAGTTTGTACAACTTCTGTAGAGTTGGGTTCAAAGTATTGTGTGAACTCCTGTGTAGTATCAGGTGTAATTGGATCTTCTTGTTGATTTGAATACATGTGATCTTCTAGAGTTGTAGTTTGTAGTATTGGATCTGTTATATGTAAGAGTAATTTGTTATTGTCATGTTTGTTTTTAAAAGGAAATATGTTTTCTCTAAACTAAACATCTCTGCTGACAAAAAATCTTTTATCTATTAGATCATATAACACATATCCTTTTTGACCTGTAGCATATCCCATGTGAATATAAGGTTTTGCTCTAGGCATTAGTTTATCATTCGATTAACCATTTTTGCATAGCATAAACAGCTTATAACCTTAAGATGTCGTAATGTAGGTTTTCTGTTATATAGTCTTTCATAAGGACTTTTATTATCAATTACACAACTAGGCAATCTGTTAATAATATATACAACAGCAAGTACACAGTATCCCCAGAGTTTGATTGGTATATTTGCTTGAAACTTTATAGCTCTAGTGAGTTATAAGATATGTCTATGCTTTATCTCAGCTACTCCATTTTGCTGAGGAGTATAAGGACATGCCTTTTGATGAATTACTCCTAGATTCTTAAAGAAATTTTCACAAACTAAATTAACAAACTCTGTACTATTATCAGTCCTAACTGTTTTAACAATTGCTCCAAACTGTGTTTTCACAAAAGTAAAAAATTATTGTACAACCACACACACATCAGATTTCAATTTCAACAAGAAAATTCATGTCATCCTAGAAAAATCATCTACTACAGTTAGAAAGAGTCTATTACCATCAACAATAGAGATTCTGTAAGGACCCCACAAATCCATATGAACTAACTCAAATATAATAGAAGTTCTTATGCTACTGATAGGAAAGGGATTTCTAGTTTGCTTTGCACAAGGACAAGTAGTACATAGATCTAATCTAGCAGATATATCTTGTGCATTTGCAGATAGTAGCTTCTTGAGAACAGTAGTAGATACATGTCCAAGTTTCCTATGCCAAAGATCCATATCATTTGAACTAACTTCTTTACTGATTTCTGTCTCCTTAGTGTTTAAACTAATTGCTTTATTTCCTGGTAATTTTTGTCTACTGAGAATGTATAAACCACTGTCTTCTCTACCAATCTCTTTCACCGTCCCACTGAAGAGTTCCTGAAATATGCAAAAATCAGGGAAGAAAGCAACTGAACATTTCAGTTCTTTTGTTATTTTAGAGACAGATAATAGATTATACTTAAATTGAGGTATGTAGAACACATTAGTTATAGTGTCCTCTTATGTAAATTCACTAGTTCCAATATGAGTAGCTTGAGTAGTTTCTCCATTACGCAAGTGTACTTTCTTTTGTTGATTTGTTTGTATTAAGGATGCCTTATTTAACAATTCTAAATCAGCTACCATATGATTTGTAGCCCCTGTGTCTATAATCCATTCTTGAAGAGTATTAGAGGCTAATAGAGCACAAGGAATACATGTTGCATTAGTTGTTGGTGTTGCTGTAGTAGAAGCAGAAGCTGAATTATCTTTGTTGAGTAGTTGCACAATGTGATCATACTGCTCTTTAGTGAAAGCGCAATTGGCCATCCAAGGAGTATTGTTTGCTTGTCTAATGTTTTGAGGATTGTTCACACTCATTGCACTGCTTGTTAGTTAAGAATTATGAGTATTGTTCTCATTCCAATTGCTGCTAGACACTTGGTTACCATGTATACCAATATCAGATAACACATTGTAAGTACTGTGTGTATTTGTGTTCTTTTCCTTGCTCTATATTCAGAAGGATAGCTTACAACTTTGTAGCAATTTTCTTTAGAATGTCCTCTCATTTTGCATATGTCACAGAATAGATTGAAATCTTTTCTAGTCATCCTCTGATTATTTCCACTAGTCTTGGTATACATGGCTACATCATATTGATTAGTTCCAGATGTAGGATTTGCTCCCAGTAAACCAGCATTATTACCAACTGATTTTTGACTCTCATCACTAATCACCATGGCATATACTTGATTAACTGATGACATTGGACTCATCAGCAGAATCTGACTCCTAGCTTGACCATAGGAATCATTTAATCCCATCAAGAACTGAAACAGTTTTAATTTTTGCAAATAAATCACAAATTCTCTTGATTTTGGGCAATCACACCCAGGTGCAGGGACTAGTGCCTCAAACTCCTCCCACAGATCTTTTAGTCTTGAGAAATATGCAGATACAGAAGTTGTTCCTTGACTCATCGTTGCAATTTGTTTATACAAATTATATGATCTTGAGCCATCAACTTTGTCAAATCTCTCATGCAAATCATTCCATACAACCTGTGCACTTGAAGCATACATTATACCTGTCAGTAACCCACTACTAACAGAATTCATCAACCAAGAAAGTACTATGGCATTCACTCATTCCCAATGATTCCACAAATTTTCTGGGTAACTTTCTTTGGTACAAGACCCATCAACTAATCCTAACTTATTCCTTCCTAACAAAGCCATTCTCATAGATCTAAACCACAAGGAATAGTTTTCAATCCCAATTAGTTGAAACAATATGATTTGAATGTCGCTAACATCAGATGGACTTAAAAACAGCGGATGATTATAATCAAGTACATGCAAACCTCCTTGGTTAGGAATTGAAGTAGGTACTCCAGAAGGAACACTTGGAACTCCATTAAGAACAATTTGTTGTTCATTTCCAGCCAAAGCGATCAAGAATTTTCAAGGATTGAAAAGATGAAGAAGCGGATCTCAAAACTATTTCGATTTTGTGAATCAAGAAGTCGAATCGAGGTTTCAGCTATTGAATTAGCTGATCCTGCTATGATACCATGAACTAATATCTGATTGAAGAAGAAGATGAAAGAAGAAGAAACAGAGAGAAAGATCGATAGAAATTAAGAGAGAAAGAGTTGATTCTTAGTATCTGAGTACCTTACATAGTGGGGTGT